AAGTGAGGTTTAACCGAAACATTTATTCCCCTTTAATTAGTTTTAAGCTTCCACGTTATTATAAGAGCGAAACTTTGAGAGAATATTTCTCTCTCTCTCTCTCTCTCTCTCTCTCTCTCTCTCTCTCTCTCTCTCTGTGCCGTCGGTGGAAGAAACGCGAACAATATATAAAGCGGACAAGACAGTTTCAGCGAGAGAAGTGCTCGGCCATTATATTGTTTTCGTCTCAGATTGTTACCTGAACATTCAACATATCTCCGCGGGGAAGCAGGAAGGAAGACGACACGTGCAGAGCACGATTTGAGCCAAAAGATGGAACGAACAACAGAAACAGAGAGTGCAAAACGAGAATACGCTCGCTGTGCAAACTCGATGTATAGTTGTGCACTGAACAAAGGCAGGATGTACGTTTTCGTTTATTATATTCTATTTTGTACAAAATATCGCACACGACGACGTGGACTAACCGCGAACATGTTACTTTTCGACAATACATCGCGAAACTAACCGCAGGTATAAAAAAAAATGGATGTTGGTCCAAAATCTAAAAAAAAATCCGTCTATTCTTGAATTACTTGCGAATATATATATGGCGTGATGTAAAATTGATCTTTGAAACATCATCAAAAAAAGAGCGAGATGTATCACGCTCTGATCCGATTGCCGTCAAATTTACTATAAAGACGTGTCCGATTCTTCATCAGACGCGCGAGATTTACATTGCATCGTTATTTTCGCGCGTTCCTCTTATTTTTGCGTTGCTGCGCGAAAAAAGCTGTGAATAATAATAATAATTTTCACGTAGTTTTTTCTTCCTGCGAATGCAAGAGGATTCTAAGACGTGACGTCTCTCTCCCTCTCTCTCTCTCTCTCCTTATCATTTTCTTCCGCGAACAATTTCCACGCGGCAGCCTTTCTCGTACTCAGCCGAGCGAAAAAGTGATGCGCGCGCGTCTTAAATCCGACCCGGCGTGACGAAAATAAAAATTGTAGTTACAACAAGAGTAAAGCGTTCTTTACGCTCGCATTTTCTTCTCGTCGACGACTAACATTCACTAGATACATTTTTCAAATTAGAGACACGACGAAACGTTCATCCGCAGATCTTGCGCGCGAATTTCTGAACGGCCTCCGCTCTCTCGGCGACGCGACGTCTCTAGAGACCGTCTGTGAGAATTTCAATTCCACGACGAAGAATGCGAAGACACAGGAGAAGGAGTCGGCAAGTACCTGGCAAGTTGTCGCGCGTTTCTCGCGGTTTCGAACTCGCGGCGCGTATCGATCGCGTACGAAAGCGGTTCCTGCTTGCTTGCGACTTCGATAGTTTCGAGACGCGCGCACAAGACGTCACATTCATATAACGAACAGTGACGTCTGCAAGATAAGATTTCTCTCTGGGAGTTTCCGACGTGTAGGGCTTAGAAAATTGTCTTTTATCGGATGCCGGTTGTTTTGTTTTCAAGCGCCGCGCAGGGAAAAGTCAGGGAATGAGTGTACCACCGCGCGGCTGTTGATAGACGATTCTTTTCATCAGACCGAGTGCGTCTATTGTTAACGCGCGCCTGTCTAGCAACCCAGAACGGACTATTCGTTTTATCATAGCGCACACGTGTCTTTACAGATGCTAAGGGGAATCACAGAGCCTGAGCTTTTACAAAGTTGCTTTCTCTTTTCTATCTCAGAAAGTCGCAGTATCATGCGCTCTTTGGGTTCCCCGAACAATCATTTTGTAGGAAAAAAAAACTTTTTAGCATATTACAAAGTTTCGATTTTTTCATATTTTTCAGTTCCCGTTTTATTGTCCTCGTTCGTGTCTTGCTGCAGTCTATCGATGCAGTCAAATCCTAAGATAATCGCAAATTTTTCCTGATAGCGAGTCGTTTAACAACCCGATCTGATAAGTAAGAACGATAAAAATTACGATCAAGATAAAAGTTCCTCTCTCGCAGGACTCCAAACTCGAGAGACTGTATCTCTCAGTATGATCAATTTCCACAAACGAACAACTGGATCGGTCAACTGCGATATCGAATAGTGAATCCTTTTTGATGCAAGGAGTAAAAAGAACAGTATCTTTTCGAACGAATCGCGGAACCGACTGTGAGGTCCAGAGTGATTCACAATTTGCATACTTTGAATCGTACCGGCGTGTACCATCATCGTGGGCGCATCGTGCCATCGAGTGCAGGCAATTCCACCCGTCCTTGACTGCGTTCTATTTGCCTTTCCCGCCTTAACACCGGCACGAAAGTGTTGCGCGTTCAATTTTCACGTCGGCATTCTTTCGTCTACGTTTTTCTGCTCGGAAAAATTCCGCGCTTCTCCCGACCACGACGACTGGACGGAATATACCGCCAAATTGACTTATCCCGAACGTGAGAGTGCGCATGAAAACATCAGTTCCAGTGCGCGAACATATCCGATGTATAAAAATTTTATTTTCCGTCTTGATGAGAAGTGACGGCAAATCATGTTCGAATTGTGCGAGAAACAAACAACGTCCAATCGGCGGTAAAGAAAACTCCGACTTTATTCCGTATATTTGAATAATCAATTTACCATTCCACGCTTTTATCACGCGTATAAATAAGTTTGAAGCCGCCATAAAAATGCACTAAGCCGAACCGTGTACGGACATGAAAAAATCGAGAGATTGAGAAAGGAATAAATTAAAAGCACGGTTTTCCACTGTACACACGGTGTATACAAAAGGATTTTACAAACGTTCATGTGTCTCTCTCTTTGTCTCGCTCTATAAATAAATCTATTCTCATAGTTACTATTTTTGCGAGGACATATGCGCGGTCTCGTCCCATAAATCATAGAAACTATGTAAAACACAATTTTACAGTCTGTCTGTAGCACAATTTTAATCAAAGCTGAATAGTCGACGAGTGTCTAAAGTTACAAGAGAGGATTCCTCGCAGCTAGTTTGAGGATGTTACGAAAACGTGAAATTATTACATACGTTGTCACGAATGCCGCAACCATCACGACGCCCTTCGTCGAAGTTCTCTCTGTCTCTCTCTCTGTTCTACCGCCGTTGCCGTTACCGCCGACGTTATCGATCGTCAGCTATTTTCAGATTCAGGAACAATATTCGAGCGTTAATTGCTCCATTTCACTCGCTACTCATCCTACCGCAAAACAGCGCGCAATCGGAGGACAATCGCCGGCATATACCGCAGTAACCGTAGTGTGCACGCATAGTTCAAGAACTTTCCACCGCGGATTATTTTGTGTCATCGAGCTGAGTGTATGAGCAAAGCGTTTGACGGATATAAGCTTTAAGATGTAGTACGAAAAAACAAATTTCCAAACAATATTAAGCTACGCGGAATACACGCGTGCACTTGAGCAAGCAGAAATAAACGACAATTACGACATACGGGAAAAGCGCGAAAATAAAATTTGAAAATTGTTTCCGCAGAGTTATCATTTAGAAATGAATGTTGCGCGGAAGATTCGCGATGCGTGAAGCGCAATTAAAACACGAAAATGTGTATAGTTCATCATTGGGTTATGCGCGGAAATAAAAGTGTATACACATAAATGCACCTTCGGGGATTTAATCCGTTGTACCGCTATATTGCAAACGGATCAACATATAAGCTCCAATTTCCATTCTGCACTATAACAGCACAGAAATAATTGTCGACAACAACGGCGCGATCTTGCATTTTATATGACGCGCGATATTCAAATGTGCGCGTGTAGGTAAAAACACGTCGTCGATTCGCATAATTTCCTTTGTTAATTTTCCGATTCCATGCTGCGATTATACGACGACGAAGCTATTTACAGTTCGGTGATTACCTTTTTGTAGTTTGATTTTTATTTTTACCTCGTCTCCGGAAGATTCGTTATTTTATCGCGTATCAAATTTTTACGAACTTTTTCTATATACGGGGGCTTCATTCCATCAGTAAATTGTTTTAGCACACATGTTCGAAAACGTACAGAAATGAGGTCGCGTCGTTAGATTGAACGAAGTATCATCGTGCAGAAAGTGCATTTTGTGAGTAAACAATGTGAATATACATTTATTGGAACTACATTGGAGTGCTGTTCTCGCATACGCGAAAGACAATTTTGATTCTACACGTTGTATAATATTACATTCTTGTTTTGCATGCGCATTATATCGCAAATATTTGATTATCAGAACGCGAGATATGCTCGTTAGATTAGATAAATAACGCGCGCGCAAAAAAAAAAAACGCGAAACTCTCATTACTATATTTTTTTCTTCACGCTAATAATTCTAATTATGATACACGAAAAGTCTGTTGCGGATAACCTAAATGGAAAGAATAACACTCTCCCACACACACAGTTGCGCGGCGTGCAATTACGCAAATGCTATATCTCGTCGTTAACAAAGGAAAGATAAACGCGGATGCGCACGCGAATGTAAAATAACGATATGAAAACATAATGGCGCCCGATGAGGATACGGCTGTTATGCAAGTCATTGTCTTGCAAGGATTATCCGACAAAATAAAGCGTCTTCTTGCGAGGCAGAGCCGCCGCAATTACATTTCGATAAAGCGTGGGCGAGGCGAAGGATTATTTAACGATTGAACGGAAGAGAAGAAACTACTAATTGTGCAGAATGATTATTCGAAGTAACGCGAAACGTGCCGCGCAATCGTCCGGACGCCTTAATTGAGAAGATCGCAACACGGTGTTCCGTTTTATAATTAAATTCCTTTGGGAAATTCAACTATTCGTAATCAGCGCGTGTTTACTTCTCCAGCAAATGCGCGCGCGCACGCCTTCTTTTTTGTCGCCCATAGTCCGAATGATGAAATTTCAGATTTCGCTTCCTAATATGGTTACTTATCGTCGGTTTTATTTTCCGAGTATTTCGCCCACACGCAAGACATTTCCGCCCCGGAACAATCGTGCGATAATTCATGAAGGCGTTCACGTTGAGAGTAGCGCTTTATTTGGATGATGAGTGATCTCAACGCCCGTAATGTTTTTTTTTTTTTCCAGATCGACGTTATCCGTAGATGGATTCGGCAATTCGCCAAGAATTCGTGAAAACACACGCCATATACAAGAACTGCGGGGATTCTATGGAGACAAGATTAATTAGAATGAGGATCCTTCGTGCTTGAAATAGAAAAACGCAACGACGCATGTTCTCATCCCCAACGTCTAATCTGACGAAAAGTGTAATATTTTTCCATTGTCGGCGTAACCAACGGACGAATTTGCTGCTCGGAGTTCGTTTCGTGATTCTTGTAAAAAGTTTCTCGCCTTGATGTTTCGCAAAAGCTCGGACTTTTTACTAACTTTCACAGATTATACATCCCGTAATCAACATACAGCAGTTAAACGCGTCGCTCTCGAGGAACTTTCTTATCGATCGCAAACACGAAACAAACTTTCTTCCAGCGCGTTTTGGAAGAGCGCGAAATTTCCTTGAAAACGCAACGCGAGCCGTCACTTTCCTTCATCTCTCGCTAATGCGCCTTTGGCTATGAACCAACATTTTCACTTTACGCACGATAAACGCCACGAATGTGTAACAAAATCTTGAAGTCAAATTGAAAATTAACGAGATCTTGTTTGCGCCAGGCACAAATTTCCGGCCGTTCTAACGGAATCGAGAAAGGATCGCGAACAACGTCATCGTAGCGAAGAAAAATGCGCAAGTTTCGTTCCACTTTAGAATTCTCGGCGCATCGCCGAACGACGAAAAACGAAACCAACATAATAAAACGACGAGTGACGTGTGCGCAAGGTGTGCTGTAAAAAAATGACAAGAACTCTCAAACGAAGTTTCACTTCCGGATATCGTCAACTCTCACTTGAACGTGACCATCACGCGAAGGGTATGTTTACGCAACAAAAAGACCGACGAGGAGCAACGCAAAATCGTGACATTTCATTAGCGACGTGTTGTGAAAAATTACCCAATCGGTTACGGGAGCGAAGAGTTAAAATAGAACGTCACTTTTCCATCCGCACAAAACGTGATAAGAAAACCGGACGAGCTCAGTTTTACACGTTGCCGCAATATACAACGTTACGCGCAAAAAAAGGCGTTGAGTTATGAACAGAATAAAGGTTTGACGAGAATCGTCGCAAAACCACGGCTCCATTAGGCGCTCGTATCGTCGCACATGATAGAGCGGGGCGATACTTTTTTTGCGGAGGCGAGCAAACGTCAGACAACGAACCTTACACACACCGAAATTTCTGAGAGCCGGAATTTATCCTCGTCCGCATCCGATGTTTCGCGAGAAACATCGGCGACGTGCTAACACGCAAGAACGGTCTTGTCATAAAACGAGCGAATGTCACGACGACGCATCAACGACATTTTTAGTAATCGTTAAGCGGAACGGGACGACAGGATACGAGAACTAGAAGCAACGGCGGCGAGATTAAACGCGAAACTGTCATAAAGTAGGAGAAAAATCATCAGAGGCTTCTCTCTGTGAGATATATTGTAATAAGCAACGCGCGACCACTGATCTCGTCCGTCTTCTAGAAAAAGAAGCGAGTCGATACAAAAAAAGATTGACGACGATGACGACGATTGTCAAAGAAAAAGGGTTACATTGAAAATCGGAAGCTCCAAGTATATCGGGAAAAAAGTGTACTCATCTTGGGCGAATAAACCGTGGGGACACAATGGACCATCATTCAGCAACGATCGCTCGGCGGCTCGGGATTGAATACTGCGGAAGGCGCTCGTGCATGAAATGCAAGTAGAAGTGCACTCGAACGTCGAAGCCCGGTGTTGTCGATCGAGTCGACGTTACCGTAGCACGTAGAATAATCGACAAAAAAGCACACGGAGAATCGTGCCGATACTATCGATACGGCCGTGCCACTTTGGCGAAACTAATGAAATGGTGCGCCGCAAGAAGGTACAATCGTTACGACGGACTCGATAAACGAGAAAGTAAGTTCGAATTAACGGTTTCCGGTAATCAATCGGTGTTCGTGAGCGCGTGACACAAGCCGGTAGAAACGAAGCGATTCCGCCCCGTTACCGGCGCGGATTTTTCAATCAAGATCGGCCGAACGGAAAAACGCGATTTGTCGCACGCACAATCTATTGCGATGGGACGCGTTGAAATTAAAGGTTCGCATTTGGAACAATCAACGCGTTTTCACGGAAAATCCACCTCGAACGAGAGACTCGGAAGTGCGTGAAGTGGATTCTCCGCCGCGACGTCGAGAAGATCGATGGATGGTCGCCGACATTTTGACCGCGACCCAGAAACTCTTCTCGCGGACAACGCGTAGCCAAGGCGAAAAATTCAAGCGACGATGCTTCGATCACGTAGTGTGTCAAGCGGAACACGATGCAAGTCACGGTGTTACGTCGACGCGATCGCAAAAGCTCGCGCTCAGACGGCCAGGTATGTGCGATCGGAATATGTAAGTTATTCTCTTCGAAAGACGCTGGCTCCGTTATAGTTTCTGACCGCAGCTAATTTTATTCATCCCGCCTTCTCGAAATTAAGCGCCGAGCGAATATTGCGAGTATTCCGAGCATTCTGAGAATTATTCTCCGGAAGAGAAATGAACGCGATAGATGGGCGCACTTAACGATCGATCGATGTACAAAGTTTCTCTATGACGCCATCTCGGTGTTACAATCGTGTCAACGGTTATCAGTTTCCCTCAGATGTGTGCCCAGAAAGGAGAAAACGCAAGTAACGAATTACAAACGAGGTGACGAAGATTACACTCTTTGACCGAAGGCGCTCGAGATCGCGTTAAGTTCGAGATAAGAAATAGCAGCGTGAGAAAATTACGAACGTAAAAATGAACATTTTTAAACGATAGACGAGTAAAAACATAAAGAAAACACACACACACACACACATACGGTAGTCTTCCGCTCCTGTAATAAATCAACGAGAGCCACGCAAAGAAATGCAGAGCCTCGACGACTTGACAACGTTCGACTCCACGTCTCTCCCTTGGAACGTGTCGTCACTGTGGCTCGACAATGATACCTATTACAACAGCACCAACTACACAGACTTGGAGCTGGGGGGGAATCAATTCGTGTTGCCGTGGTGGCGTCAGATGATCTGGACGCTTCTGTTTACTGGTATGATCATCGTGGCGACCGGCGGCAATCTGATAGTGATATGGATTGTGTTGGCGCACAGGCGGATGCGTACCGTCACCAACTATTTCTTGGTAAACCTGAGCATCGCAGACGCCATGGTATCCACCTTGAATGTCACCTTCAATTACATCTACATGCTCAACAGCCACTGGCCCTTTGGCACGCTCTACTGCAAGATTTGCCAGTTCATCGCGGTTCTTACGATATGCGCCAGCGTCTTCACTCTGATGGCGATATCTATCGATCGGTAAGTAATCCTTTGAATATCGTAATTGAGACAAATTTCATTGCGCGAAGTTTAGAACATAGTTTCGCCTCTCTACAATATTGTGTAACGTGCTAAATTATTCGGAGGAATGTACAACGTCAAAGCTAACTGTTCCGCGAGTCATCGTCGCGGACTCCCTATAACTTGCCGGACAATCAATAATCCCGCAGCAATTATTGCGAGTTTCATCCATTTTCCTTCGTTCGAGTACCTCTCGCTTTTAGCATGTGAACACTCGAGCTGAGACCCCACTTAGATCGATGTCCGGTTCTGGGAAAACACATTTTCTCCCGTTTATCTAGAGCAGTTCCGATGCGCGTGGAAGCGGAGGGTGTATACAGCGGCTCGATGCGCCGTATCTTACTTCTATGACGTCGCACCCTCGCAGGAGAGTTTGCACGAAATCGGGAAGAGGTTTCGTCCGCGCTAATGACAAAGATCAATCTGACGTCGAAAGTCTGCCGAGAAAAACGAGAGAAGCAACCACTAGGTCACCTCTCTTGCGATTAGACCAAGATGAAACTTCGTACCCTTCACCAATTACGTCGTTCTACAAAATCTCAACTTCCAGTTTGATTAAAATTTAAGCAGTCGATATATTCCCCTTACGTGTAAAAATTCAGGTATCGAAAATATAGCGATTCGATCCACTCACGCGGAATCCCACCGCGTTTACACACACAATTTACCGTCATTTATTACAATATTGCAGATAGTGTTCTTAATATATTGTTTTTTCACAGCAACGCGCCTTTTTCTTATTAAAACAATCGCCCTGCAATAAAACATTCAATAAAAGAGACGAGAGGATATTATTTATTTGCGGCGATAAAAAGCTACATTTCAATCTTGAAAAAATGCCCGGGTTAATTTTCCAAAGCAACGTTCTCTTTTCAGAATCACGAGACTGCTATTCCAAAATTATACAGAGAACATAATTCACTGTTCTTCTTATTATCGCTGCGAGTCAAATCTTTCTTTAAAGCAGATTGAAGAAAAATCTTCAATGATTAAAGGAAGTACGATAGCAGTCGCTTAGCTTGATCGATTAAACCAACACTTCGCGAACTTGGAAGGATTTACTTACAGGATGCGACCGCATTCGTGACATACCGAGCGCATAAGCTAGTCACTTTTCAAACCAAACAACCCGTCTCAAAGTCGATTACTTCGCGTTGTTGTCCAACCGGGCGAACGATTGCTCCGCAAGAAACTTTTGTAACAAAAGCACAAAAAGCTGAATAGCGAAAACCGTCGTTCAGAATGTTGCTTTCCGTAACCGCTCGAGAAATAGAAATGCACGCTCATTTCCCCTCTCAATTGTGCCTCAGAAGAAAAGACTGCCATATTTGCGAGTAACGTCGAGAGATGAACGTAGCGAATAAATAAACGCGAGAGATGCGGTATGATTAAAGAATACGTAGTCCTTTTTAAAAGACATCTTGTGTGTATATATACAGCAAATATATGTACATACATGTTTGCTAGTTCATTCATCCCCTACTAAATCGACATGATATATTTCGCGGGGCGAAATTCAGAGACATTTCGGGATGAAAATTGCCGATAAAGATAAACGACGATGAAAATTCGGACTGGTTGGTGTTGCCGATAGATACGACGTATATTGGAAAGATTTGGGGATCGTAAATCCTAAAATTCGTTTTTATGTCGCGGAGATAGAACACAAGGGCCGTCCGATCCCGGCGATAATCGTGGATGTCGCCATGAGAATAGATTTATCGCGAGAAACTAATTTTCGACTATACGTGGCGGAAGATGGTGCGCGCAAATATTACGCGCATTGTTGGCGGATGACGAAACTTCCGAACATACCGGAGCCAACATCGATACCGCTTCCAAGTGACGTTTCGTCGGCGAACGCCAATGGAGTATTGCACTCCACGATCGGCTATTCCCGTGACGGTATTCCCGGCAAATGATAATGTGCTTTATCGCGACCGCGGGAATCTGAGATCTCTCGACAATAGACGCTATAGAGAGAAGAGAATGCGCGCATCATCGGAATGATAGGGGAACGTTGTAATAGAAATAACGCGGGCATGCAGTAGTAGTCCACTTTGGACGTCGTTTTCCGATCGATTTTCACTCGCGACGAAGACTTTTATCTAGATCATTAAATGCATTACAGTCACAGAGTTCTTTTTGTGATCGTCGGGAAGAGCTTCCATAAGTGCGGCGGAAATCGGATGGACCAGTTAATCGACGCGCAATGGCAAAAGCACGTTCCGACAACAATTTATTTCGACGAATATTGTGTGTGCGCGCGCGCGCGCTAAAGTAGAACTGCGTTCGTAGTTCTATAGATTCCTGAGGCACACTCATTCCGAATGAATTCATACGGATTTTTATTTCGTCGCGCTCTGTACAAACGTACGCGTCGACAGCAGATGTCGCCGATATAGAAAAAAAGCGAACTCAGAGATTGGATCGCTAGTTAATTTTCTCCCGCACTCGATTGCCTCCGCAGGGATATATTGCTGTTATCATTTACTTCCAACGCGAAAGCGCGTTAGTCAATAAAATACATGGGAGTATTGCGTGAAGAAGATCGAACTTGGACCGGTCGAGGGGAAATCGCCACGTAGCACACGAATCTTGAAGAGGTTCGGCAAAGTTTCTTTTCATCGCGTGGAAGAGAGATAAATAATTGTCGCGCGAGATAACGAATCACTTGTCATCGTCTGAAATATTTTTGTTTCAGGCCTTTCCGCGGCGAGAAAGCATCTTCGCTTCGAAATAACAGCAAACGACACCACGATGAAGTATCGGCGTAAAAACGTGCAAAAAAGGACATCATAATTAAGAGAAATCGCAATTACTTCACAAAGCATTCTTCAAAAATAATTATTGTTGATAATTACGATCTTGTGCGTATGATTTGTTTTCTTGCCAACGTGAAGTGGTGAAACTGAAAGTTAACTTTTCACACTACGTTCGCTGAAAATGTCAAAGGCGATGTTGGAACCTATTGTGTAGCCTGTAAATACGCGAAGAAAAATGTTGTAAGCAACGCTCGTTCTCGTTCGATATTTAAACAAAAAAAAGAGCATCACTCGTCGCGAGAGTGCCCGAGATTTCCTAAGGTCTTCTTTATTCAAGGAAAGCTTTCACCCACTCGTATTTCTTTTTCTTCCACCCTCGTACCTATTCATCGTTTCGGTCAAAGCCACGCTCTCCCCGCTGTAGTACGGAGAAATGTCTTATCTTGTTAAAACGTAAACGGGCGTTCAATTTTTCGATGGAAAAAAACACCCACATGTTCCATTTATCGCGAAAACGTACATCTGTATCGCAATCATACTGACACGACGATGCATTACAGAACGTATTCAACACCGGCAGGTATCGATTTGCGCATTATTGATCACAGCGAAATCTCGTACATATCGGTTGTACGGAACGACAGTAATTTTTGAAATTAACATTCTAAGCAACAGAAAGAGAACAAGATCTTCAGATTTGTTCGAACAAATTCGGAATTAAAATTTCTCGTCATTACAAAACTGTTTCGACGTTAAAGATTAATGTGACCTAATTACTCTCGAGTATAATGTAGTTTGGTTTCGTAAAGTCGAGTATACGACAGCGGAACAGCGACGTGATATGTGAAACCGCGTACCTAGTATGCACGCGATGCCATCGCGAAGGAGAGATGTAATATCAGATATATATTATCATGTGAAAACTCGCTCTCTCTCTTTCTCTCTCTCTCTCCGAGCGTTCGAAAATAGATCTCCGTTATCCGACTGCACTTTCGCACTTCTACATGTAGAACGCATACAGTTACAAAAGAAAATATTTTTAAATATGTATCAAAAATACATATGGTTATATTGACATCATTACGACATTCCTGCGTACGTACGGTATCCATTACTCGCGTCAGAAATGTAATACACCGACGTTGACGGGGCGGTCGCAGTTAGCTCGCTGCGCGGCATGTCACGTACATGCTTCCGATACCAATTCAAACAAGAGTCTCGCGTTGAAACAATGCGACTGCTACTACCTGCTTAGAAACGTGTGCACTCGCCGGTGGAATTCAGGGTAACACGCCGCGCCGAACGCAGCAAAATAAATGAGAAACGCGAAATGCTCGGGAAAGGACATTCCCCTCCCTCCCGTATTACGACAATAACGTTCGTTTGAGGCGGGAAGCGAAAATAAATGCAGCCCTTGCTTCTTCGGAGGAGAAATCTCTTTGTAATTAAAATCTCAAGTAAATATTCAGTGAAAGTATTGCGCGAATCTCGTTTTTGTTTCCGCGATAAATAAATTCCGAAATATCGTTCAGTAGAAATTTACTGCGCATCGACAGTACTTGTCTTGCTGTTTTTCTTTTTATTCTAAAATTTTAATTATCAATCCTACATTATCTGAAATGTCACAGATTCTAATTCCATTATTGTTTTCTTCTTTGTTATTAATTAACCAGCAGCATGTCCATTAATTACAGATTGTCATTACGACGTTGAGCTTTACAAATAGAAATTCTAGTGAGCAATTTAATGGAATAAAGGTACAGTAAATTCAAAGAAGGTTGGAAAGTTTCGCCCTCAATTTAGGACGAGCTTGATCGGTGACAGAATGGAATTCAGTGCGCGACATTCTCGAGCACGACAAGAGAAAGACGATGGCACGCCTGTTTCTAGTTCGAAGTCGGTGATCGACGTTCGCACGATAGTGAAGAATTTACGAATGTGATATACAAACTCCTAACGTGGTAGCTAACGCTCGCGCGATATAATGATAGCGCACGATCGCAAACGCAACCCACGCAGAAAGCGGAAGCCGGTCTCGCGGAATATCTTGGCGTTCACAAACGGAAATTCAATCTTCAGATCACGCGGAAGATACAAATGACATCTTTACACGTCGTTCTGCATTTACGATGCGAGATCACGGTCAGCGTGCGACTTTACAGTTTTCTCCACAAATCTCGTTCTCGCACAAGA